ATTGTTATTACCACTATATTACGATTATTCGATCATTATTTCGTTATTATCCATTCACGAATATTATCACACGATTGTTGAGCAGATATTATTATCACTACCATTTAATATATTCTAGTATATTATTACTTCTTCATTCTCAGATCTTATTTAATTTATTCGGTTATTATTTAATTATTGCTATTACGCATAGGGAAGCAACTTGGGCGTGCCATTACGACAATTTCTTTACCTCGTCTTTAATCAGTTTTATCGCCGTTGCCAAGTTATTGTTATTTATTTTTATTACCGATTATTCGATTATCGTTATTCCGTTATTATCCACTCGCGGATATTATCACACGATTGTCGAGCAGATGTTATTATCACTACAATTTAATATTCGAGTATTATTACTTCTTTATTCGGTTATTATTTAATTATTGCTATTATGCATAGGAAAGCAACTCGGGTGTGCCGTTACGATTTCTTTACCTTGTCTTTGTTCAGTTATTGCCGTCGTTGCCAAGATATTATTATTTATTGTTATTACCGATTATTTGATCATCATTATTGAGCTATTACCCACGGATATTATCGTACGATTTTCGATCAAGTATTATTATTACTACCATTTATATTATTCGAATATTATTACTTTTTTTATAATAATTATAATAATACCTGATCGATAATCGTATGATCCGAATTGCTTTCCTATGCTTATAAACAATAATAACCGAATAAATAAAAACTGAATAAAGAAGTAATAATATACTCGAATGTTAAATGGTAGTGATAACAATATCTGCTTGACAATCGTGTGATAATATCCGTGAGTGGATAATAACGAAATAATGATGATCGAATAATCGGTAATAACAATACCTGAATAACGGCTCTAACAAAAACTCTAAGCTCCACAAAGCTAGGTAAACCGATCGTCGTAACGGCCGCTCGGGCTGTTGACTGAGCAGCACTAGGATGGGGGGGGGGGCGCGGCCCTAGTAAACACGTGTGCGTGAACACGTGCTCGAGCAACACGCCATAACACTCTCAACCGTCGAGACGAGTACAATGGGAGCTGCCGCGTTATTTTCCAAATTATTTCGCACCGAGTTTTAATACCGCATTTTGACTCCGCCATAATTAAGGCGATAATTAACACGAATTAAGACGTGTAGTTCTCACGCGAGCAGGTGCTGCGGGTTTTATCACGATAAGTAATTACCGCGTTTTATTTACATTTCTACTTGTTAGATAGAAAAACGTAATCAAGTTCCTCTCTCAATATCGATCAAATATTACCAGCATCCATTTATTGTTTTAATATTATTAGTTCTTTATTCGGTTATTATTTAATTATTGCTATTACGCACAGGAAAGCAACTCGGGCGTGCCGTTACGATAATTTTTTTTACCTCGTCTTTATTCAGTTATTATCGCCGTTGCTCAATTATTATTACTCATTGTTATTACCGATTATTCGATCATCGTTATTCAGCTATTATCCACTCGCGGATATTATCATACAATTGTCGATCAGTTATTATTATCACTACCATTTGTTATTCGAATATTAGTACTAGTATTAGTATTAGTATTAGTACTAACAAGAGTATTAGTACAGCAAAAGTAAATGAAACGCGGTAATTACTTGTCGCAGTAAAATCCGCAGCACCTGCTCGCGAGATCTACGCGTCCCAATTCGTGTTAATTATCGCCTTAATTATGGCGAAGTCAAAATGGGGTATTAAAAATCGGCGCGAAATAATTTAGAAAATAACGTGGCAGCTACTGATTACTTCGCTCACGTGTCGAAAGATTTCGCGAGATCGGCCTTCGATTCGCATCGCGCGCGTATCAAAGCGATATACTATAATTCGATCGGACCTTTGCTGAATTGTCGTACTCATCGTTTATCCAAAAAGCCGACATTTCCTCGAAAAGGCAGTTCGCGATATTTCATACGCAATTCGCAACTCGGAGTGTATCTTCCAAAAAAGACGGGATTTTTCGTGAAACCTCCGTTCGATTACCGCGATCGGGAGTGAATTACAGGTGACGTGGGACGCGAGGACCATTGCAGTGTCAGATGCAACGACAGGATAGCTGGTGGACCCTGGACACCGTGGGACGACGCGCAATGGTGAGCACTCAATTTAGACGCTCATATAATAGACACAAAGCGTCACTTTACGTAGATTGCATGCACGTAGACGTAAATCGCATTGGGTACGTGAAGTAAAGTAAGAATTGGAATTTTCGCCGGAGTAAGAATGATTCAACCAAAGAATTTAGTTCTGAGATTTTCGCAATAGTTCAACGAGTCAAGCATTTCCATACCTTTAAGAATACTGAGTAGCTCAATCCTTAGAAAAATGTGCAAAAAGACGTGACTGATAAAAAATAAGGAAACTGTTTCTTAACTCATTTTAAGCATTTGTAAGACTTGAATTTTTTTTGTTTGGTTTAACAAGATGTGAGTGGAATATCCATTGATAAAAACTTTTCGATCTGGCGCATCGTTTCGCAATAAGCGTGAATCGTGATTGTTAGTTATTGGAAGAACCGATAATTAACTAACAGTCACGATCCATGCTTACTGAGAAACGATGCGCCAGATCGAACAAGTCCAATTCTCTAGATGCCGGAAGTATAAAGGCATTTATGAATCGTATATCGGTATCGTATATAGTGTATATCGGTAAATGAAGATAACGTTTTCTACGTTTTGAATCGTTTTAATCGCGTCTACGTTATTGACGCTTAGCAAGTTTGTCGTCCACTCCAGCATGTCCTTAAGCCGGGATTCGAACCGAGGTGTTTCGAGTCTTCGATATTATTTATATTATTATAAACTACCAATTCCAATCAAATAAATTGTAGGGCAGATAGTGCCCTTTGTGTCACTTTGATATCTTTAGTGGTTGCCGAGAAATGCACGAAAAATGCAATCGGTAATGAAAAGGCTGTCAGCGACGTCAAAAAGTGCGCACGCTTCCACGGCTTATTTAACGAACCGTTATTAATAGCATTATTATAAATTCTGAATTCCAACAGGATAAATTGTGGAGAACTTTGTTTTCTTTGAGTCACATCGATATCTTTTGTGGCTGCCGAGAAATAAGCAAAAATATGAGCGTGTTTAAACTTGTATATTTATTTATTGTTTCATATTGTCCAGTTTCCAAATCCTTTTTTCTTACAAAATTACGCAGAACGCAGCGCGAGAAAGACGAGACTGATGAGAGATCTAGCTTTGCGATAAGTTTGTCGCTAGCGACCCATACAGCATAGATCTTGCAGCAATATTGCTGCAACGTTGCAGAAATGTTAAAAAAAGTTAAAAAATGTTAAAAAGTTGCAGCAGTGTTGCCGCAATATTGCTGCAATGTTGCTGCAAGATCTGTGCTGTATGGGGATAAGTTTGTAGCTCGCTTCATGTCTACATCACGCGGTCCGCTCATCAGTGATGAGACAAGAATAGAGTGATTGGACGTCTGTCCTTTTCTAACTTACTATCATTGTACGAAAGTACAACGGGCACGAACCAGGCGTATTTTATCATTATCACCGCGAAAATGCGCCTAACGGACGTAGTAAAGGCCCACTTTGTTAGATGGCGTCTCGAAAAGCGCCTAGCTCTGATCACTAAAATCAAGCTGGTGGCCGCTCTCAGGCTTCTCTCTGGTGCGATATACACTTAAATATAATGGGTCATTCAGTTCAAAGCTACCCTGGTAAAAAAAATTGATAGAGAACGATTGAAAACGATAGGATTTCTATCAATTTGAGTCGTTTTCTTTAAGCTGTATCGTTGACGCTCGCAAACTCAGATATGAATCCTATCGTATTTTATCTGGTTATACACGATTTTGTATTCTATAGGAAACTACCCTAACAGCACAAATATTCAGGAGACGTCCAGAGTACGTCTTGAGAACGTCCTGGGGATATTTCTACGTCCTAAGGACATCTGTGGGACGTCTCCAGGAAATTTTGTGCTGTATGGGTAACGATAGAAATTCTACCACTATCTATTATATTCTATCGTATACGATAAAATACTATTCACATTTGTGAATTCGCAAATCAAAATCCATATTCAAAACGATAGAAAACAATTATTTTATTCTATCGTTCTCTATCAATTTTTTCTTACAGGGTAAGCTTGAAGCTCTTAGCTAAGACTCAAACCAATATCAGATATACCCAGATGTTTCTTCATGACACCGTTAAGTGGCGCCAGGCAGTCCGTCTAAATTTGTTGAAATCAATATTATAAGACCGATATATCTAAATATGTGTTTACACCACAAAGATGTGTACTCCTGACTATATTTTCTCAGTATATCACTTTGTTGTAAACTGTATCGATTATATATTTCTTATTTAGTCAAATTTTACGTACATTAGGTTGTAACTATCGCACCCACTTTTATATTGCTTATAATATTATTCTAATTTAAATTTAAACGTTAGTTCCTTTCCCTTTTTTTCTGATAATATTATTTATGCTTAGTTTACAAACATGTCGCGTCATTATCAAGCTAAAAATCGGATTGTTTGTCTCCAACAGTTTGCCACACCATAACTTTGACAAGAATATCCGTTTAATGTAATTTTCAAATTCTTCGTGAAGGCGGTGAATACTTATATACTTGCATATATAAATATACACATGTGTACATATATACATGCATAATATATACATATACACACATATGTACATGCATGCATGTATATTTACGTGCGATATACACACGGCGATATACACATCATGTGTATGTCTTACTATTTCCTAGATTAGAAAGGGATTATCAATTTTTTTCCTTTACTAGTATCTAGATTTTAACATATATTGCTTCGTTGTAAATTTTGTAACTCTTTTATCTTCTGATATAAATTAAATTTCGCGGGCAGGTTGATCCCAATGCCATCTGTTGTGTATTTTCTGAGATAAAAAATAATATAGTTAATACGAACACTCTCTCGTTCTCGCACTGCTTGACATTCTTATGCTTACGTCATTTTGCTTGTCGCCTGAAGTCGTCGCCTATCGGGAATACGCGCTTTGCGTCGCTTGTGTGATGGAGTGGCGAACGGTGGTGGTGATAGTGCTGGTAGTGAGCCTCTGTTTTTTTATGGTACCGATAAGAGTGGGGCCTGACAAAAATGCCGAGGACACCAAACTGTTCGCCGATTACGTTGCCAAATACAATAAATCTTATCGGCACGACTCGTCCGAATATAAAGAGCGATTCGATCGCTTTCAGGTGAACGATAAGTCGATTTGTCTCAAGCCGATTATAACATAATCGCGTGATTGGTTCAAAGGGTTGCGCGATAATATTGTTGGATTCAAATTGTTCAATTCGCTGTTTTGTTCGACACGTATACATTCATGTGTTTTCTGTCAGTGTATTGAAAGCTCGAATATTTTTTCTGGTCGCTTATCGAAGTAGTTAAAGCAGCTCCAACAAAAGGTGCAAACGCGTGAGTCATTAGCTGTCAGCATGTGACATTGCTGCGAGGCATTTAATTAACTGTCAGGATTACGATTCAGTAGAGATTACGATCCATAATACTGCTTTTTGTCGTATAATATCAATTTTCACGTTGTCCCATTTCGAAAGAGAGATTGATACAGATCCTGATAGTATTTTATAATTAAATTTTTAGTGAATTATTTCGTATATATTTCATACTGGGTAAATACAATTTTTTACGTCATGTATGGATCGGAAGAAAAGGAAAATAATTAATTACAGAGGTCATTACAATATATCGAAAGGCTGAACGGTTTTCGATCGTCGCAAGAAAGCGCGTATTACGGTCTGACGGAATTCTCCGACTTATCAGAGGATGAATTTTTACAGCGGGCTCTGCTTCCTGACTTACCTTCACGAGGTAAGGTTAAATATCATTGAAGAGATTCAACTCTTCTTTTAAGAACAAAGTGACGTAACGTCTGTAAAATTCAATTTATCATACATTAATTGTTTCTTTAAGTTAGCGGAAATTCTTCGAGGTCGTGACTGACTAAATATAAGTATAGTACGACTCCGTGTTCTAATTTATCGCTATAATAATATGTCACTGATACGTGTTCGGTTATTTTCACTTAGGTCAAGCGCATATCGCAGCATCGTATTATCATCGGCGTTCCAAGAATTTGATTAATCGCACCAAGAGGGCGACTAGCGTGCCTTCTAAGGTAGATTGGCGCGACAAAGGAGTGGTGGGACCGATTCAAAGTCAGGATATTTGCGGCGGCTGTTGGGCATTCAGCACCATCGGGATGGCCGAATCCATGTACGCCATCAAAAACGGAACTTTGTATCCCTTTAGCGTGCAGGAAGTAGGTCGCTATATTCCTGACACGCGTATACCTCACAAGTGACGCAATTGCTGGAAGAAGATCGTGCTCTGCGAAATAGACACTTGCCCGTACAGTATTCGTATCAATTTTTGCCGTTTCTTGACTCTTTGATCAAGATTTTTTATATTTTTGCCTTATCGTTATCGGATTAATCGTCGGCCACATCATCGATACATGTTGTCGAGCTACTCCGAGTGCCCTTGTTCCAGCAATTCCTTCAGTTTTTCAACGTGACTTTCGCCGCTTACGTTAATTCGTCGCAGCTGAATGTTTAATCCCTCGTTTCACGTCGCGTGCAGATGATCGACTGTATGCCAGGCAATTTCGGATGTCAGGGCGGTGACATATGCAGTCTGCTTTCGTGGCTACTAATGTCAAAAACCAAAATCATTTCCGACAGCGTGTATCCTCTCACACGGCGAAACGATCAATGTAAATTGTCTAAGTAGGTATATATAGTATAGAAGATGTATAGTGGTGTATAAAAGTACTCATCTTTTCTTCGAGAAAATCGTGCACTTTCACAGCACAACGACGATCTTAAAGTGATCTAATACTATTTCAGACTTTTGGCGAAGACGTCAGGTGTTAGAATAACGGATTTTACATGTGACAGGTAGTTAATTTTCGTTCAATCAGCTTGTAGAGAAAAAAATTAATTTACATTTTTTCAGTTTTCTGTTAAAATTTGTAGAAGTCGACTACATTAATTATTTATATATATATAATAGGCTCTTTTTCTTTTAACACATAAAATTTGTCTTATGAAAGAAGTATTCTGGGATTCGAAAGGGAGCAAAAAGATATTTTCCCGAAAGTTTTTGTAGAAAAACAAAAAATCGAATAATGTATCAAACTTTGCATATTCTTTTAATCTTATTTTAAGAATCTATTTGTATTATCTAAGTAATACGCTTAGACAAACACTTTTCTTTTGTATGTTATATCCTAAGAGTTCGCGAAAAATATGAATACGGACGATATAAACGATAATGGCACTCTTAGAATCTAAAACGCAAAAACAAAAAACTTTCTTATTCAGAAGTGTAGCCATAGCTTCAACTAGAACAAACATTAAATATTAATTAATTTATATATTAAATATTTATTAACTTTTTCTTAATAAAAAGCTAACAGCATTTTTGAGGAAAAACTAAAATTTTTAATAAACTACGATTTTTTCTAGAATAGTAATATTGGTTTAATTTTAGTGCAAACGATAGCCAAGCTTCTCCTAAATAAAAATATTTTTGTTTCTGCGATTTAGATACCCTTAGAGGTGCCAAAATGATTTACATCACCTGTATATGTTTCTTTGTAAGCTTCTAGTAACTAGGATATACAAAAGAAGAACATTTTTGTAACTGAGACAATAAGCATATATTTTTAAAATCAGACTTAAAGAATATGCAAAGCTTGATATTATTCAGTTTTTTCGTTTCCTTACAGAAAGTTCCGTAAATATATTAGATTTGGTTTCCGGATTCTTTTTCGTCTGATTCCGACGTTTCGCGAACATTTCAATCCGCTTCATCAGGAAGGAACGACCCGATGTGGACTGATGAAGCGGACTGAAATGTTCGCGGAACGTCAGAATCGGACAAAGAAGAATCCAGGTGGCTCAAACCCGGAAACAAAATCTAATATTCATGGACAAAGCCTCAAATATCATTCCGTAAATATACCTTTCTTTTGCAACCTTTCAAATCAGAATACTTCTTTAACAGTGGATATGATTTTATATCTTTTTATATCTTTTTATATCTTTTTATACATAAATTGTGTGAATAATTATATGTTTTTTTATTGCTATTTAATGTCAGTTAATAGCATAGCTGATAATTGTCAGCATTAACAGAAGTCAGTCGCAAAAGTCTTCATGTCGAGCTCGACGTTGATTTACTGAGCTTGTTCCAGCTTCGTGGATGCGGAAGATGAGCTTCTGATAGCACTCGCCACTCACGGACCCGTGGCAGCCGCTGTGAATGCCATGTCTTGGCAAAATTATTTAGGCGGCGTAATACAGTATCATTGCGATGGTTCGTTCAACAGTTTGAATCACGCGGTGCAGATAGTCGGATATGATCTGTCAGCGGGGATACCGCATTATATCGTCAAGAACTCGTGGGGATCGACCTTCGGTGATAAAGGGTATCTTTACATTGCCATCGGTAACAATTTATGCGGTAAGATTATTCGTGAGATACTTGCGTCAATTGACTAATAATTAGAGTGATGCGTGCGCTAATTGACTGTTACGTGTTAACACGTGCCCGTAGGTATAGCCAATCAAGTGTCGTCGGCTGAAGTTGATTAATCGATTGCGACAACCTATAAAATGATAAGGCCACACTTCCATTTCGCAGCGAAAAACAAATCGCGTAATCACAGAACAGAAACGGTAATGTGCTGACATATATTTCACAGTATCTTTCTACAAAAGTACATTATAAGCGGAGCATAAGCGTATAAGTTGTAAAACTGCGAATCAATAAAACTCTTTGTTACGTATATGCTAATAATGCCGTATCTCCCGTGCCGTTATTTATAATTTTTTTTTTTTAATGGAATCTAAAGAGAGCATTGCGATGGACTACTTCGAAAGCTTATCATCGAAACATTCATTTCGTTTAATTTGTGCTGATGCATAGTGCTACTACAGCCGCCTGATGTGTGTTACAGAAATAAAAATTGGTTGCAGTTTTATGAAATTCGTCGTGACATGTTTAGCACTCACGCCGCAATGATTCAGGAACTTTCCAGAGAGCTTCCAGAGGCATTATCTTGATCGTCGTCCGCGTTCCAGGCGATCGACAGTTTCGTCTTCATCTGTTTCGTCAACGGTGGGATCAGATGACGCGGTATCAGGAAGGTCGACAAGTTGAATAGATCCAGGAAGACTTTGTACCGATCGCTGTTTATTGAGATGCATGAAAGAATTGTTTGTTATTAAAAATATATTTGCGTAATCATTTGACGCAAATATCAACGATGGCATGGCGCACTATGCATTTTATGAACATGCTTCTTGGTACAATTCTTGCTTAGCACAAAACAGTAGATACGACGATTTCCTTTTTCTTTTTCATTCTCTCACTTTCTCACTCTTTCACACACACAACACACACACACACACACACACACACACACACACACACACACACACTCTTTCTCTCTCAGTCTTTCATTCTCATTTTCACTGGAAACGATATATATTAACTGACTTTTGACATTGCAAAATATTTATGTATCATATCGTCCGATGATAAGACTTTACGATAAATAAAGAATATTACACCACGAAAACATTGTTGCATTCGCAGCGCTTTCTATGCTAACGTCATTTATGGATATTTTTCCTCAAATAAGTTACTCGCATGTGCATGTAATTTAAATACCTTAGCGTGGATTTCAAGTACTGATAACCGGAGGAGCCACCGGTGCCGAGTTGTTGAGACCCAATCATCCTTTGTACCATGATAACGTGGTTATCTAATAACAAGAAGAATAAGAAGATACTCAATTAACAGAATAATTGATATTCTCAGCTTCTGAGTGTAAACAGATAAGATTACGTTGGTTGATATGATGTAAGTAAATTCTTTCTTATACGAGCACGTGTTTCAGCGTCACGTTGCAATAGTTAATTATTTCAAAGTTGCACAATAATAATGATCATGTATTTCCGCCTGACGTTCCGATGAGAATAGTCAGGTTAAAGTGTAAAGCAACACGCAAGTGTTAAATAACATTATACAGACAGAAAAAGGGCAAAAAACGCTCTCACATCTCCATTTCGTGATTAGCGAGTCGATGTCCATTAACGCCGTAAGAATCTGATGCGGTTGACTGAATCGCGGCTCGTCCCGATACAGGGTAATCATGATCGCTCCCTGAAGGGCGCCATGCGAAAATCTACGCTCGCCGCGCGACACGAGAGCATTGTGAAGGGACTCGTTCATAATCGTGTCGAAGACCGCTTGCCGCGAGTGAACGTTAGCCAACAGGTACTCTCTGTTCTGTTCCTCCGTTGCTTTCTGAAAGTTCATCTTTAATTTTGGAACTCGAACGACCACCGTCGTCTTATTAAGCCTAATCTGCAATATGTTCCTTGCTTCCTTTTCCTTGTTCTCTCTGGCTTGTTCTGTCATTCTCTGGCTTGAGGTTTAAGGTTATGAGACAGGTAAGAAAAGAAACAGAGAGCAAAGATACATTGTAGATCAAATTATATACTCGTAGATGAGAAAGCAAGAAGGAGTAGAAACTACTTCTGCGTTTGCGACAAGATGGATAAGCTTAGGAGTGATTACGTGTGCGGCTTTTTCCTGCTCGGCCAACATCTTTTCCACCGATCGCTTGTACTCCCCCCAGAAGTTGAAGTCGTCGGTTTTGAGGCCTGGTGTTCTGCTCAGCCATCTCTGCACCAGAGTACTGAGACTGAGCTCTTCCTCCGACCGTTTGATCGCCTCGATCGCTTCGGGATCCCTGCCGAAGACCCTCATGTAACTCTGATTGTATTTCACCCTGTGCTCCTGCTTCACGCCCAGTTTGTTCTCCAGCAAACGGAACTGCAGCGATTGGAAACCCGAGGCCGGGCACAGGTAGTCTCGAAATGCCATGAAGTCCAGTGGCGTCATTGTTTCCAGGATCGTTACTTGGTCCACCAACAGCTGCAAGAGATAACGCTCGTCAACGGACACACGATTGCCATTGTCGGTCGTATTTCACGATGAGAGCCAAGCGATGCAATGTTAATTCTACGCTACTTCCCTTACTACTTCTTTTACTACTTCCCTTACTACGTCTCTTAGTACTTACTTGATTTCGCGCGAAATCTCGCAGTCACGTCGATTAAGCGAAATTACCGATTTAATAAGATATAAGTGCGGTACTGGTCGACCGAGTAGAGAGAGCTGGCATCTCGCCAATACAAAGAAGCGCGCGTAAAACACCCTCATCGATTGTTCAGCCCGACTGCACTCGCACTTCTACGGGTGCTGCCGTAAACAAAGGGTGCGCGAGTACACAAGACGGACGCGGTGCGTTAATATTTCAGTACGTCGTGGCATTATACAGGATGCTCGAGAAAATTCGACCGAGCAAGGCACAAATAATAGAGCGCGATCGTGTCCGGCCGCGAGTATGTGGAGATGACTTCTCCCGAGGAGAATCCTGTCGGATGCGAGAGATCGAGAGCCATCTCGGACTTCGTGAATCTTCCAAATCGACACGCTCCCATCGATTTCACATGAGTGAATGTATTTTGCACGCTTGCCGCACGACGGGACGGACAATAGACGCTGATAGACACACGCTAGGCACATTGATCTGATTTCAATAGTAATTCTGTTTCAAGGTACTCTCGATATCACGTTTCCCGCGCGTATTCAGAATGCAGCGTCACGGAGAGATGCCTCACGGTGAATCGGGATAAGGAAAGATATGACCGCAACTGCGGTATCGAAATAGAGAGCAACGGATTCGTTACCTAACGTAAGTACGTGCACGAGTCAGTGGCCGGGTGTCGCATGTCGTCTAAGGGTATTACCTTACTCAGCCGTCGGTGATATTTCTGTGGTTCTCACAGTCCTCTACCTGCCGGATGAAGCATCGCGCCTAAATCAGGAGGTAAAAGTGTCGCGTCGATCACGCGTATCAATCGCGTGTCAACCGGATAATATCGCTATCGATCCGGTTTATCGCGAGGACGAAGCAAACCGCACGAATTACTCCTGGCGCCATTATGCAAGCCCCCTCCCCCTCGCCCTTCTCTCTCTCTCTTTCTCTCTCTCTTTCGCACGTTATTTATGTTTATTACGCGGAAAAACATTTGATTAGGTTAACCAAATTTCTGGTGAAAAATAGGAACAAGCCAGAAAATTTCAGTTGTAATTGCCAGAATCCCAGATCTTTCTTCGTTTATATTCCACCAGAAATTTGGTTTATGAAAGTTCAAACACTGGTGTTATAGTGTGATAAAAACTAATATTAATATTAATGAATATCTTCCATACGATGCGGAAAACTTATTTATTAATTATTCATTAAAAAGTAATCAAAGGTCACCAAACGCGTTTTGGTACATTCGCAGACTCTTCTCAGTGGTGACCTTTGATCACTTTTTCATGAATAATTAATAAATAAATTTTCCTCCCGCATCGTATAGAAGACATTCACTAATATTAATATTAGTTTTTATCACACTATAGCATCAGTGTTTGAACTCTCATAGGCCCTATTTTAATTTTATACCTCAAAAGAGTTTTTTCTTCTTAATATTTTTAAATTTGGTTTGGTTCACCAAATGTTTTTTCCATGTACGTTTATTATATTTGGTATAAAATAATTTTATATCGTCGTGTGTTACCCAACGTGATGAATTGTCGTAATAAGTATTAATCCGAAAGAAAATTATTATGTTCAATTTATAATTTAGAACAGAGTCCCGCGTGTGCATAGCTGCGGATTTTTCTCTAACTCGTAAGAATAGATGTAAGTCGCCACAGTGAATAGCTTTGTCTAACGGCACAGAAGAATTGAATTAGATGCCGAAGGGACCGCAGTCTGTCGCGGGCTAATCGGCTTGCGAATAAGGGCCGTTCACCTTTCATATTCATCACCACTTCGGAAAGAAGGAGAGCTCTCTAGCTCTCTGACTTCTCCTTCATCTTTACAAAATGTTTAGCCAACAAACTGTTGCTGATTGCATCCTGCTATTTATACATAATATATAATAGAGAATGTCTATCTATATGTTCCCTATTAACCCTTTAACCAATTTGGATCAAATTTTGCATAGTTACTTTTTTGCGGGAGATATATACTAAGAAAAAATACTTGAACATTTATTCGTGAAATATAAAGTTTATTTCGGTGGAATATAAAGTTCATTTCTACAAATCAACTTTATATTTCACAAATAAGTTTTCAAGTATTTTTTTTCTCAGTGTAGGTTGAACATGAAACCTGAATACTCCACTCCCTTTCCTTGACTTCATGCCCTTAATACTTTGTGGTAATTTAAGTTTAGATATTCTAGATATAAGAAGCCCGGGCACAATGCCGGATAGTTTAAGCTAGTTCGAGATAAAATTGTGCCGCCCTCTTTTGAAACGATCGCTTTTTGGGATAACTACTTTAGAAAAGAACGAAACATACTTTCAGGATAAGCACAATGCGGTTCAGTCGCTTCAGAATTTCCAAAGTTTTCGACTCGTTCAAGACGTGAGAGACCCCGTTGTCCTGGTTGGCCGAGTGATCGTTGGAGGAGCCGTTGCACGATGCGTTGTTTTCGGAGTTAAAGAGCGTCCTGACGGAGTCGAGCTCGAAAATAATCTGTTTGAACCAGAGCTCGTAGGCTGCGACAATTGAAATGCATGCGCTGATGCAGTTGGAATAAATATATGAAGCAACGATGGAAATGTCGATTAAATGAAACTTTAGGCTAAACGTGCCTGTTAGTTGCAATATTATCCTGTTAGTTCAATTGAGATAATTAACATTCAGCATACGTAATCGCAGGGACCAACTGTCGATACCTTGATGAGTGACAATAAAGAGATGTTCATCGTGAACTTCGTTGCTGTACTCGGCGCTAAGAAGTCTCTGCGCGGACAGGATCTTGTCTAAACGCAGGTACTCCCCGTAAAGTAATCCTGGTCCTGGCATCATCCGCTCCTCGTTCGGACAGTAATTCTCTCTTCAATAAAATGCATTTTATTGAACAGAATTATATATGAATTATTGAATAAATGCGTTTGTTATGACTTTTCGTCGCGTAACTTTATGACTTTAATCGCGTCTTCGAAGCGAGCTTCGAATTATTTCAATTGCAACGTTGCGAAATCGAGATGTCCTCGGTACCGCTCAGTGTAATCTACTTTCGTGAACGTCGCAACATATCGCGCGATACAATTCACTTATCCGCCGTTTGTTATTCAATAGTTCAATCAAGAGCACGTTTCTACTATATCGTACTAATTTTTTCGCATCGAGATGCGGAGTATTAAGGTTCAAAAATCGGAGAAAATTCAAGATCGAGCGTGTCTCTGATATCAATTCTCTTTGTGATAATTTTTGAACGAATTTCCCGCGAGCTTTCTCTAATAACAATTCAAAGTATTCGATTTCAACTTGAACATGCGTCACTTACGTGATTCCACTTGATCTCGGACAATCCATATTTGGGGTGTATAACTTTGGTATGAAGTCGGTAACACCTCGAGAGACTGCAGAGAGATCTTCTTGTATAAATTGCGAGCGATCAATGGTCTCTCAGTGATCTGATTGGACTGAATTGAAGTTACAGACGGTGTGATATCGACTAAGTTCGATGAATCGAAGCGTTGAGATTCTGTGGATTGCGAGTCGGATGACTGCATTCGCGTACGCTGATCACACGCGACGCGTGTTGCCGAAGAGGTGGATGGCGTGCAACTAACTCACGATCGGTTCACACATGCTGTGGTCTCATCAATTAACTCTCGCATAAATAAACGGTATTGGTGCCGTGTCGAATTGAAAAATGGTTTTAACAGAACTGCCTCACACACACAATAACAATGGAATTGCGATATCTATCTCGATAAATATCGTAATGTAACGAGTTTACTCGTTGCATTACGTTCCAGACCTGTCAAGACTGCACGCGCGTGCGCGCGCAAAATTGTTCAAATACGTATTTCCTCTGCCAGATAGAAATTATTCATATGACGCAGCGAGTAATGCAATGAGTGGTGGAACTGTAAATTGAATTAGCGTTAATGTATTTCACTAGTTAGTGACTTCTAATGCGTGATGTGTGACGCGTTGCGGCAAAATCATAACTAATCGATATTATTGTCTTTTGGATATTCGCGCTCGAGCAACCGCGACAATGTTATACCAACAATGAGTAAATCAGATTAGTTTTTTAATTGAGATTGCAATTAATTGTAGATGTCGCTCCTTCGATTGAGTCTATTATCAACTGGTGGAAGTGTTTGTTGCAACACCTATGGTCGGTCAAGAAAATTTCTTCCAATTTCATCGGAATTGTTCATCTCGATAGTAGATGTCGTGCCGTATATATCTTAACGTCAGTGTTAAACTCAGTTAAAAAAAGGAAAATTGATAGGGAAGGCAAAGCTTATTCGAGATTCTAATTGTTAAAGTGTAATAGTTTTATGTTTCATTTTATATCTAGTCACAATCATCGATATTCTACGTCTTATGGAAATAAATTGATATTGAACTCGTCTCGTGATACAAAAAATAAATAATCACACATGAAATAACATAACTGCATATACATAGCATAAGATTGTATGGACCAATGAGCATCGAATATTAAGTATCGAGCATCAATATAGCGACTCGATGCTTATTGGTCCATACGATTTTATACTATGCATATGCAGCTATGTCATTACATGTCATTACTATGTCATTACTATGTCATTACATGTGCGATGGCCCTAAACTGTAATTATCGAATATTAACGTTACGTCACAAACCATCAAAACATGTAACCTCTGTGAATCATTTAATCGCAAATAATTCAAATATAATTAGAAAAAGATATGTGAAAATTTATTTGCAAGATAAAAAGTTCATTTTAATGAAATTACAGTTTATTTAATGAACTTTATTTCATAGAAATTTTATATCATATAAATAAATATTTATATATTTTTTTTCAGTGTGTACAATCTTGGCTACATTTAGAAAAAAATACTTAAAAATGTATTATTTGTGGGATGCAGACTTTATTAACAGATATAAATTTAATTTTTTACAACAATAGACTTTATTTCATAAAAATAAACTGTATATTTCACAAATAAACTTTTTATTTTACAGATAAAAACTTTTCAAGTATTTTTTTCTTAGTATAGTGATGCACAAGTGAGAACCAATCAGCATCTCGGAAAAGAGGCTTCAATGTTTCATCACGACTTCGATATACTTGAAATAATAAACTAAAATAATGAAATAAAATACAAAATAAAATACATTGTTGACATAGGAATTGAGTACGGAAATATTGTCAAGAGAATCTTATAAAAAGAAATAAAAATTGAACACTAATTTATCACCATCGTGCACTGTTCACACACCTTCATGCGATATTGAACATTTTATTTTTGCAAAACGTGTAGACTATTCGATTTTGACACTGTCTTATCCTAGTAACAAGTATTAGTTGTAATACAAATTTAACTTTGATATTGTTAATAGTATTAAAGAATTCGTGTTTTGGTTTTTATCGGCCCCATCATTTCCTTTATTGATTTAATATCAAAGAGCCTTTAACTTTTAACTTTTTATTTTTGTCGTTGAGACACATAAAGCTGCTGACGAATCAAATATAAATAACTTGTTCCACCATTAGCGAATAGATATGTTAATCGCCAGACTGTTCCAGACGTACTGAGTCACCGGAATTGATTACCCGATATTTGACATTGCCGCCGTTACAGATATAGATGTGTCTCCCTACATGCGAATTAGATTTTTATATAACTTTAGAAAAAGTGTACACATTCGAGAGCAAATAAGATCATAAATCAACCACAACCCTATTGTGTATTCGTCAGTCGAGCGGTGTATCGCAAAGCTATGATTGTTTGTCTCCGAATTGAAAGCTAACGAGCGCTGGTCACCCGCGCGAAATATCGCTCCAAAATCGGCGAGTGCAGCCTGTATATATGCATCACATTGGCTATACCTCTACTAGAGAAGATTACTTCATCTGCTCACCGCGCTACAAGATATAGATGCACGATAAAAACAAACAGTTTTTGCAGCATTAATATCAAATATGATTTCTGCAAAGTCATCATTGAATGCGATTTTTGCAAAGTCACCTGTTAACGCACGGATGCGGGATATAATGTATAAAGGTGTACGATGCTTATGTATAGAGACACTATACATAGAGACTATACATAGAGATATATAGGAATCTATACATGCGCGCAGCATCATCGATTTACTTCGCAGCATCATCGAGTAACTTTTACCGTTGATACATCACGGCGATACATCGTGTAATATAGATTAGCAATTAGCACCTCCATCTCGTTGTCACTTTATTCGTTACATCGCCCATTAAAACGGCAGGCCACCGTAATTCCCGAAGTAATTTCTCAGCCGAATAAACCGCGGACGAGATTACCGGTGCGCGCGATGACGCGTTATAAAATTGCGCGCCGAATAACAACAATGCGCCGTTCGTTATCAACGACGTCCCCGTAACGTCGTTACTTGTAAAATAATAATTACAACGACCGCATCCCGGCCTGTGTCGTGGAGCAGCCGTGCAATATACGATAAAATTGTTCCGCGGAAACTTCGGGCGCGCAACTCCCGACAATGCAATTCGCTCGGGGCGCGAAGGGTGCCTCGGGACGCGAGGACAGGTTGCCGCGGAAGAGGAAATTCGATGTTTCAGGCCGGAATCAGATCACTGAATAAGTTATCACTTGATAAAAGTATTCACTGAACGCGCATCGTGATCTTTAGTAACCACTCACCCACCCACCGGACACGTGGTTTCCCGGAAGTATACGCTGATAACAACGCTGATTAAGACCACTTTCCTTCGTTTCTCCAGCGATGCTGCAGCGTTATTGTCAAGGTACGCCGTAAGCCTAATCTACAATGTGCTCTTTGCTTCCTGTTTCTTGTTCTCTGTCTTTTTTTGGGTTAAAATTTAATTTGCAATGTGCTTCTTGTTTCCTGTTATTTGTCTTTTTCTGGCTTAAAGCTTAAGGTTTTAATCAGAAAGAGATGAAAGAAATAAGAAGCAAAGAGCACATTGTAGATTAAGCTCAAGGTCTGAGATTTGAACCAGAAAGAGATAAAGAGAAAGAAACAGGAAGTAAAGTACACATTGTACATTAAGCTACAGTCACAGTAAGCCGCTTAATCGAGAGAACCGGATGTGCTGTATTCTAGAACATCTTCGATTATGCACGACGTTCCTTTAATTGCACGTAATTGCATGTAATTGTGTTTGTCCTATCGAAGTGTTTTGTCATAATTACCAAGAGATGCAAGAAGAAGAAGAATATGATGATGATGATGAGGACATTACACACTCACGTGTATGGGACGTGCTTCCGCTAATTTCTGATTTGTCGTGTAACAATCAAATTGCACTTTGTGTCGCGTAAAAGTCTCGCGCTACTCGTATCGACACACTCGCGTAGGTCCGAGCGAGTGTATGTGTACGATTTAACTGCCGCTTAAGGGGATTCATCATCGTTGTCACTTGTTGTCGCAAGAGTTCAAATAGAGTATCGGAGAACGATAATGTCGGGGCATTCGAACCTTTGCGTAATCTTTGAGATATTGAATAACGTATCGCGTCACGTCCAAGATCCGCCGTATCTCATTTCGCTTCTTCTTCTTCTTTTCTTCCATTCTCATTGAATTCTCTCCGTACGTTTTCGCGACGCACGTTAGTGGGTCTCGGTGGCAATTTGCACGAATTAATGCCTAATATCCACCGGCAGTTTTCCTGCTTAGCGCTCGTTATTACATTTTCTCTCAAGGAGCGGATGGAGGTCTGTTACGCCGCGCGTAACAGTTTCCTGACAGGTAGCAGTATAGACAGGTATGTTGCGCCATGTTGCAAAAGGCGTGACACGCACGGAATGAAATTTTCCGTGGAAAAAAAGAGGCAAAATAGAAAATGAATATCGCGGAATATTCCTGCGGAATAAATGTGGCGCTGATGATACGGCGCTGTTTACACTTCAGAATTAATACGTACGTTGAGAATGCGCGCTCGTTAGTATATTAAGAAAAAAGAAGATAAAAAGAGAGATATTAAACGATGCCACGTTGATTGATATAATGACCGACGTATACACGTGTACAAAGAAATTGATATAACGTAAAATTAAACGCGCGTCCGTCGTGCATGCGGAATGTGTTTCCGTGAGATACCTGCTCTCTTATTATGAATCTGTAAAAATGTTTCTGAGCAAATCAGTAAAGAAAATATTTACAGTTTCATTTTATATCTGATTTGAATCAGTCAAAATACACTAAGAAAAAAATTTACTACATTTCAAAAAACGTTTGTTTGTATAGTACTGTGAAGATATTTGTTTAAATTAAGTAATTATTTTCTAAAATTAAATAAAGGAGTTTTAAATATAAATTTGTTTCTTTAATTTTAGAAAATAATTACTTAATTTAAACAAATATCTTCACCGTACTATCCAAGTAAACGTTTTTTGAAATTTAGGAAATTCTTTTCTCAGTAAGATTTCACTGCAATCTGTGCACTACAAATTCGTCATGTTTTATTATATCAGATCCAACTTTCTGCCTTTGTGGCGATGGAATAACGAGTTTCCATGCAATTTGAGTGCAGTGACGCACTGTATTTGCAAATTGCAAATCAACAATAGGAACAGTCGCTACTGTCAACTGATTCCTTTAGCGAGATTTTACTGATTACAATGCTATACTTTTAGTTGAATCACGTCAGTTATAAGTATAGCATTTCAGTGAAGAATATACCGATCACACTTTAGAGAGTGAGGCCTGTAGATCACTTCAATTATAATTTAAGATCGGAGCAATGCCAACTTGTTCTCTGTTATGTTCGTCCAACGATTAATTTCTTTCTCCTCTTTTTATTCTTTTCCAAGAGACTGCTTGCGTAATCTTTGGAGTTTCTGCAGAGACGTAGTCCGCTCTGTTCTGTCGCAATCGGGTTGAACGACGTAAAATGAAGATAATGGACACGTTGATTATTCCCTCGCAGTTACTGTTACGGTTTCGTTACTTAATGTTCGTCGGGCCGGCGCGCGGCATTCAATCACACGGAGTTCCCGGATCAAGCTGGAAAGGACTCGGGAAAGGACTCGCTCGATCTCGACGTGCCCTGCGCGTTTCTTCTCCTCATGATTCCACATTCGCTACACGGCTTAGAGACGTTTTCCTTGAAAAGCATTTCGTTGTTCTTGAAAAGCGCGAAAGGCAAAAAATTGAAAATCGAAATTTTGATTCTAATTTTGATTTTAATTTTGATTAAAATTTCGATTCATTAACTCTTGAAAATTCTATAGAGCTTGAACGATTAATTGAGAATCTTCAAATATAATGCTATACAACATTCAGAAAAGTATGATCTTATTCTTAGCGGATATCCTAATAGCCTCAAAAGGATTCCTCTAAAATGAAAAAATAAAATATTCTAACATTCAAAAGATGGACTCTAGATGCAAAGTGCTATTTCCTGTAATCCCATATTTTAAGCGAAAATTCTTACTGAAAAAGTAAGAATCCCTCTTCTATAGTGAAATAAACTATTAATAAGAAATCTACTAGATATTGTACTAACTTTTTTCTCTCTCTTCTAAATTAAACTAAACTTCTCTATTAAATTAAACTAAAAAGAAACTTTATTAAACTAAAAAGTATATGTTTACTTGAAGCAGACTATCTTCTTACTAGAAGAAATTCCTACCAAAAACAAGATTTGTATTGTATAAGATACAAAATTCCTCTGAATTTATTATGTGTAGAATAAATTCTTTCCGATTTTAAAAGAATCTTCTTGAGAAGCCACACATGTAAGAGAATATCCTTTGAAAATAGCATATGTTTTTGAATGGAGCTATTACACACAAAAAATACATACCGCATTCAAGTAAACCTTACTTGTTTCAAATATTTCATAAGTTCATATATCCGTAAATCTATTATATAAGCTCATTATAAATATCAAATTTCAAAATATTATCCAAGTTGTAATAAGTTTAGTTTGAATCCAGTTAATCTTGATAAGTATATCTTAAGACTATTATCAAGAAAATATCGTTTGTTAAACATAACTGCACCTTGAAAGAAGGAAAGCGACTTGAGTAATTGTATCTTTTCTTAGCAGCAGAATGACACTTTTCCGCGTTTTATCTAGAAACGATTTCTCACCACCGTGTTCTCCACATCGAATTTTACAGAGATATTATTCCAGAATAATTCAGTATTCAATTATCACAATAACTACCCGTGTTTAATTTTAATTTTTAATTTCAATGAGCAAAATGTTAAGTTATGCAACTCGCTTAACCACAGGTAGAGCATATGCAGAGGGATAAGCAAATAATACATAATCCAATAACGATTAATGAGTAAATAGAATTAATGGCTGAATAAAACAATAAATTCATCCGAACATCCCGAACTCGGCGCGCTTCAAACAACCGGTGCCACGAAATCGCGTCCTCCTCTCGTGCAATGCATAGGTACATATATCTATGCGGCTTCGCGCCAGCGAATTTTGTTTACGCGCCGTCGTATTTCCTTCCTCAATTGCGCTCGTAATCGACCAAGCGCGAAGGATCGATGCTCGCTCTCGTGTCCCGCGCTATTGATCTACGCTTCCCGATAAAATTCGCATTCGCATCGCCCACGCTCTCTCCCTCTCTCTTTCCCCCTCTCCTTCTCCCTCTCTCTCTCTCTCTCTCTCTCCGCGTTACGGCGCACACGAAACTTTTAAATCACGCGCGGTATTAACGAATATCCATAAATTCGCATATCGCGAGACGTTTGGACGTCTAATGCGCGCCCGATGATATTCGTATCGGAGATCCTTGCCGTTCGATTTCCCTCCTCTTGGAGCCGCTGCGTCGTTCCCGCGGTGTCGCCGTGAGAAACTCTCCCGTCTCGCGTGGACGAGTCGTCGAGAGGCACGTCGGCGTGTGGTGACAGATTGGCAGAGATTAGTTGAGATCAAGATCCGAAGAAGAACGGTGATCATGCACATTATAATGTACCAAACATGTCGCAACGTCGGCCGCGTGTACGTGCGTGTACTCGCACGCATGTCGCGGTACACGACCGCACATCTGACGCCACTGCGGAAGCACGTGAGAAATCGGTTAATGAGATACCATTCACCGCCGCGACTGTTCGTCTTATCCGGCTAATGTTCTCGGCCGCGTGCGAACACGTGCATGGAGGAATCTAGGTTCGCCTTGGGCGGTGATCACGATCAAATGATTCGCGTCGGCGTTAATGCCACGTAAAAGAGCGCGATGCAGGAACACATAGCGCAGCCACGAGTCTGGATCGATCCACGATCATTTGCATCAAACGTTTGCATCACGACGATCACGTCGGCTTGCGAAACGACATTTTCTGCGATTCCCGTCGCGCAAAATTACCTGAGATTCAAAATTGGCGCGTGATCACGACGTGACAGAGGAAACACGATCGGATACACGGATCTTGCGGCGAATTCATGTGACGCGGCTCGTTCCATTCTTCCGCTACGCGGCGTCGACGGGATCGCTGAACCTTCAATAATGCGCAAAGTAATTATTTATTCATGTATAGTCGCGGTGCGGTGCCGGACGGCATCGTAAATATTGCATCTCCTCGCGGCGACTATTACAGCGCAATAAATGGCATGTCCCGATCATTCGATAAATTATGTTTGCGATGTTCCCTAACAGTGTCATAATTAGCGTCATGCCAATTTGCACGTAAACAATTATTACGGCAGCGCGCAACGGACAGTCGCGAGGATGCCCGCCGCGTCGGAGCGTTGCCGCGGGTCGGTGCAAATATCGCAACGCTGTGACCGGTGCATATAATGCAAAGGGCATATTTAGCCGCGACTCTTGTTTTCTACGGAGCCCGATGTGCAGTCCGATGGCGTTCGCCGCCTCTCGCCAGACGGGTTTTCGTTTGTTTCACTCCTTTTTCAAATGCCACGTACGCCGTCCCTATTTTTAGGCCCGCCGTCCGATGTGCTCCAAAACCAGGTACGGGGGCCCTTTCCTCCCCCCTTCCTGCCCCCTCACCCACGCACCCTCTTTTATCATTGGACTCGGCGCTGTATCTATTCCTCGCGCTCTGCTCTAGCATTCTCGGCTCTCTGAAGGTTTGTGGAACGCTCTGCTACTTCAGATCGCGTTTGCTTTTACGGGAGGCGAAATGGTTTTGTAATTGCTTTCCCCCCAAGGTAGCGATTCATGTATATTCAAAAAGCGAGTTTTTTTCATTAAAGATACCTGTGAAACGTGTCCAACCTATGCCATCAATATTTAATAGTTTAGCAAGTTCTTTTTTATTTTTGATAGAACGCGGGCGGCAGAGTTTGAATATGCCATATTTGACATTTTAAAAATCTTGCGTGCTTAATTTTCTAACTCTTGTCAGAAAATACTCGAAATAACCAATTTTGCCAACTTATCCCTGTCTCTTCTACTCGGAGCTTGAAGGAGTTCCTTGCTTATTATCGGATTTTCCTATCGAAAGCATCGTTCTTTGTATACGCACAAGCGAATGCGTAACAGAACTGCGGGCATCCCGGTAACAAGCATCCCGTCGGAGATAGTATAATATTATGTGAATAAACATGTGAAACGGTTGTTCTTGAGATCGTGATAAAAACAAGAAGAGGGAGGAGTTTTTATCAATGTCGGTGAGGTCTACTGATACATTGACTCGGCCACACGTACCATATTTGAGTTCGTTTTGGCACATTGTTGAGGGGAGGGGGAAGGGGGGAAGAAAACTAATGTCCTCCGGCTATAACATAAAACAGAATATTAACGCACAGTGCACATATTAGCGTAAGTTGTATGATACTTGTATTTTACTCTTGGAGGTTTTGTTCTCAGGAGAACGTTAATGAGCTTAAAGTATTATGTAATAACCGCACGTGGAACGATTGTTCCTGAGATCGTGATAAAAGCAAGAAGAGAGGAGAGAGAGAAAGAGATAAAGATAGAGTTAGATAGATAGATAAAGAGAAAGAGAGAGAGAGAGAGAGCCGTATCGCGTTACAGTCGCGCGATTTACTGCGTAATCGCAAAAAAATCTAGATGAGTGCATTTGTTTGGCGCGTGTCCGATAAAAAATACCTCCGGGATATTTCATCGCTTCATTATTGACGCGCGATGTTTTACACGTCACGTAACTTTTCCCGAACGCTCGTGCGTATCGTGTTACAGTGAAAATCACGCGTATCGCCATAGGTCACTGCAATTTGCGGGATCCCGACGATCCTGCCGAAAGACGCATCGCCTCGACGATGGAAATTTCACCCAACAATGGAACCGTTTAACGTTTCATTTCATTACATCTCTCGCGTGACGCTTCATGGCCGCGCTTTAACATGGCGTCGATAAATCATATCGCGCGAGGCGATGGATTTTAAATGCTAAATCATCACGAATGAAAAGCGGCCTGTCAATGGAAATCGCTTTCGTTGTCGCAGCGTTTGCGGGTGAGGTCAACCGACCGACCCCGCTCGCGCTATTTATTCGTGATTGTTTGGTAAGTAGATCAAACCGCCGTTTCTCGATGACACGTGAGTCTTCCCGTGAAACCAGATAGTCGTCCGACTCATTTGGTAAGTTCGACAAGGCGAATCGTGCCGCTCCGGCCGCAGTCGAGAATTTAAGATCACGTTCGCTATAAGTTCTTTGTTTTATTGCGCTCACGGCACTCCGATCTATTTATAGTTTAAACGAGATAAATTGATACCGCGGTGCAGAGAACGCTTGGGCAGTGCGCGCGGCTCGATCGGAATTCGCCGGCCCTTATCTCGCGTTAATTTCTGCCCGATTTTCCGCGCAAGTCCGTGTGCGCGCCGAAAATCCCGCTGATCTTCGCTTCTCTCTCCCTAACCTCGAGGATAATCGCGTTGTTGTCGCGAGATCAGCGCGAAATTTTCGCACAACTGTTGGAAGCATTCGCCTGGCTTTTCTCCGCCAACATCGGGTGATACCATCAGTCAGCGATTAACGCGACCATTAAAGTTAAAGGGAATCCCTGTCTTTCGAAACCTCCACGACATTTCGCGCGGCGCGGCGCGATCGATCGATCGATCGACCGGTTTCCGGGTCGAGATATGATTAGTGAGTGCGCGCGCTCAGCCGATTACGCGCTCGTATACATTGGCTATGCATCGCCGCAGCCACGCACACTACAGACGGGATAGTGTGTAGCACCTCGAAGGTCCACGTGGTCATGGATCACAGTGGTGGCAACAGTCGTGCCCCGGCCGTCGTTCAAGTGTGCAAGAACGCCGGCCTCCGTCATCTCCGCCGTTCGTTGTCGAGAGAGAAGAGCAGTTGCGAAAGAAACACGAAACAAGAAGACGTAGAGAAGGAGAAAGAGGAGGAGGAAGAACAGGAGTAAGAAGAGGAAGAGAAGGAGGAGGAGGAAGCTGAAGAAGAAGAAGAGAGCAAGTCGGGACAAGCTCGCTTTCGTTTACGTTTCGCGCGCTGACCGCAACCGGCGATTCCACGCTCAAGTAGAACCGCGTGCATGTCCTGATCGCGTCTTCGCCACGGCTTCGTTCTCAGGTGTGCTCTGCGGAGTACGCGATGTGCACTGAGAAGGTCCGCGAGGATCGCGGAATCGATCGCTGATCGTTGTGCGACTCTTAACGCTGCTTTCTGTGACGCACAAATTGCGACGTTGCGTGCGCTCCACGCGTCTCGATAAGAACAGGCCGACGCGCTTACTCAGCTTCGCACACATACGGACTATATTCGGAGCAACGAGGAAGAGTGTATCAGTTGTATCGGGTTCCGTGAGTATGATCAATTTGTAAGCCCTTATTGATCGCGCTTGTCGCGAGATAAATCGAGCGATTGATAGCGGAAATCAAGATCATTTTTCAATATTTGTATATGCAATCGTTATCTCTTACGATACGCAATTTTTCATCGGACTTAGTCAACATTTACTGACTATATACAATATTGCCTTTTTCCTTTTAGATAAACGATAATAATTTTGCGAACGCTAAATAGCGATCTCGAAGCTGAGACGATTTATATATAGACCAAGACTCAATTTCTTGTTGTTATCTCATGTTGCTTCAATTCATTCATTCATTAAATAGAATAAGAGGATCCTTTTTTTTCATTTATTGATAGTCAATTTTCATTCTAATTTCTAATCAACACGCACTGATCTCTCATTTCAAGCTCAACTTTACTCTAGAGTTTTGGGATGCGATCCATTAGACGCTGCAAATGCTTTAAAGCGCTTAAAGAAACGTCATAATTGGTCCATGCTTCAAAGCATTTGAAGCGTCTAATGAATTGCACTCTTAATTCTGATGTCAACGTCACGCATCATTGTCATACTTGACAACAATTATGTTCTTTCTTTGTTTTGCTCAGTCTGTTTTCCACAGTTATGTGAAAACAAATACCTAAAATGCAATCTGTGGGGATAATTTTTCACAATAAACTGTCAAATATATCAAAACAAATTTTTATTTTGATTTAAAATAATTTTCCTTTTTTTTTCATTTGCTGTTTGAAAGAGTATTTCGATATACAAAGTTAACAGCTAATAGAATCGTTTCGGAAGAGCGAAATATGGTTGAACGTCGCATCTTCATGACCTCACATCTCCCAAGGCGAAGCGGGAAAGTGTTACTTATCTATCATACAGGTAAATCGTTGCGTCCTTGAGGAACCCTCCGATTCAGTCTCGCAGATATATGCAGCTGCAGTTGTCGTTCCTAACGATTCTCTCTCTCTCTCTCTCTCTTTAAATATACTTTGGGGAAAACCTGACTTACACGTTACATCATTTTATCATTGCACGCGTCTTTGCCCATCGCAAAGCTGTAAGACAAGCCACTCCTTTCGTGGAGCAGATCGAAACTATTGAACTCCAGCTTTAATCGAAGACTCTTTCTCGCCCTAACGACAAGCGTGAGCAGCCAGAATGAGTCACAAAGGGCGCGACTGATAAATTTCACGAAGGGTCGTTACGCATTGGAGGTTTCTCTCATAATATCTCCGTCCAGACTCGGTCCAGCGGTTGAGATACGATTGAGAAACTTGCTCGACCAGCTGCCGAAGCTGCCGGTGTAATCTCGCGCCGAGATTTCTGAGAAAAACAAGAAGATGCGCTCCTCCGTAGTTATTTGGCGCGGTCACCGCGTGGCCCTGAACTTCCCACCCGGTAAGACTTTCGCCATTCACGCGACGTATACGGTGCAATAGAACTTGACTCATGCTTGAGTTCCTACCTGTCAGGTGTGTGCGCGTATGTGTAGACGCGTGTGAAGCGCACATGACTGTATCGCGACGAAACTCCTGGAGTACCCATTCATTTTTATACGTCAGATCGCATCTGTCTACACCAAGTTTTCATCTAGTTTTTAGACGGACTAAAGTTGTTATACGCGTCTGTATCTCGTTCTTTAATCCTTGCACCAACCTGCTCATGAGAAATTCTTCTCGAGTGTTTATCATGTTTCGTAGTGTTTATCATTATACATTCTTCGATTGCACGCACCCGTTGACTTTATCAAGACGTTCGTTTTCTTCGTGCTCTCGAGAGGTAAATCTCAAGTTGCTAAAAGAAACAGAACACAGAGTCTTTTTATCGCATCGGTCTTTTTATTGCATATTGTCAGATTTTTATGACGATTGCCCGCGCCGAAGGATCATCAATTATACACCTCTGAAGGACCTTACTTATATCACTTCTCCTTGATGCGACCAATTCTCACTTCATTTACAATCTTACAATCCTCGACTTGTTAATGCTGCTCTTTGCATTCTTTCGTCACAGAAGTGAGCATAAAAAGAATATTATTTTATGCAGATCGTATTAAAACTGTTGAATCTTTAGCAGCAATTGTATAATTCATTATATACATAACTTCTCATACAAATCGCGCATCTTTATAGATATTGTTTGTTAGAAATTATATAACTGTAAACTTGCTACGCAAGCATACATTTTTATAATTTTATGAAGATGTAAAATTCATCAAGAGCAGTTCGAATAATAAATAAGTATCAAATAATAAGCGGTATCGAATAATAAATAAATTTTGAATGCACTCTCGCGACCTGACATAATGTACATAATTTTAGCATTGTCGAAACTTGTGCAAAAAATCACGGTTAAAATTGCTCCGTTCTCATTGTTACGATTAATCGCATAAATTCACGTTTGCATAATTCTTCCTGCCGTATTATATGCAATTCGTATGCACTTGCATGATCACATAATTTCGCACGAGTTCCCTCAAAATATCTCCTACCGAGAAGTTCTTTTTTTAATATTCATCAAAAAATAAAATCTAGGTTGTTAATTAATTGCCTCAGCATCGTTAGAAAAAAAAAACAATTTAGCATGCTTAGTCATATTTTTCTCGCGTTATACGATGCCGGCGGTCTTGAACTCTGAACTTTAGATTCGAAACTGATATATCTACAGCAGAAGTTGAGTACACATATACCTGACATATACCTGACATGTTTGGACAATTTAATGGTCCAGCAAGGTGAAAGCTGAAACGACCTTTCTCGAATCACTTCGTCATCTCAAATTAACATTTCTGTCGCGCTTGATTCTTGTTTTTCTTATATTTCTCTTGTTTATGAAGTATACGAGCTGTTTTATTTCTTCTTCTTTCATAAAGTATGTAGTCTATTTTGTTATCTTAGAAGTGTGTACATTTCTTCGTGTACATTTCTTTGAGTACATTTTTTCTAGCAGTGAATTGGTATTACGTTTATGTACTGATTCAACGTTTATATAACTTTGTCGCAATATAGTCAATCACTCGTCGACACATCGTCGTAGCTTATGAAACATCCATAGATTTTCTCGCGTGGCGTTTCGTAACTGTGTCGCGACGGCGGTCACTGCCATGTATAATAATTACGTGCCAACGACACCGGTATATTTGGACACTGGCCGCCGTGCTTCACATATTGATAAACGGGTCGCGGATTTTCACCTGGAAAGCGTGAGAAGAAGCGACTAACGACGCGCCGCGAGTCTGACGAAGCTCATTGTCGCGATTCCGTTCGTTTTCGTTTAATTTTACGAGGAAATTATCTCTAAATTAATCGTAATTACGGGCGCGCACGTGCACGTGTCGCTATAGCTCTCGCACGAACTCATTAGTGCAATAAATTATCCTCACTATTTGTTGCTCGCTTAATTTCATAAATTTTGCGATTGTTACGTAGCACAATAAACGACGCATGCAAAAGAGAACGGCAGCGAAATTATTCTTTGTCGAGATGATGTTGGCGCGTTAATAAAAAAAAAGAAAAGAAGAAAACAATCGCTTGAAACAGTATTCTCATTTGAGTCATCGTTTTATACGTGATGTTAAGGATTTTTTTGGTAAAAAAATTACAAAACATACAACTCTGAAGTTTTGCAGAAATATTTATCTCTACTTTGATTATATATAGTGATTTCTATAAAGATCATTATCTTTATCATTATCTAGTAATAATAAACTTATAAATAATGTGCAGCGTTTGAAAGGAGGTTTTGCTTGCATCGATTACCACGATTTCGGACGTTGTTAATTTCCAAAACTAAAATGACAAAGAAATTATTAAACTATAAACTTGTAGCTACCGTCCCTGACCACGACTGAAAAAAGTATCAATTTTTTTTACAAAACAAACAGAAACAATATTTTTCTCTTAAACAAATTTTTTAGTTTTTCCTAGTTTTGGTAGTTCTTAAATTTAAATATTAAGGATATCAACTTCATTGTAGTGAGAACGATATCAGGACATCTATTTGCTATGTTTGTAAAAGTAGAAGTCGATCAAATATCTTTGACTTGAGATGTCGTGGCAATCAATTCGCGAAACCTCGTTTCGAGAAAAAACTGTTTGAAGTTTTCAATATACTTTTAATAGGAATAAGAGCCTTTGCAGCAGGTACCTTTAATCTGCTAAGTATAAGTTTACAATGCTAAGTATCTTCCTCTTCCACATGGAGCCTATACAAAGCCGATTTTTCTACTTTACAAAATCTCCTAGCCTCTTTTATTTATAAGTCCAAACTCATGAATTTAGACTTTCGTTATTATTTGGAATATATACTTCGAGAAACATATTTCTAGTAATTTATTTAACTTTAAATCGTCATATATAGATCAAACAGACTTCCGAAACTTTATCGGTTAAAAGCTCATATGACTTATTTGATTATCAAATTGACACTCGCTAGATTTTTAGCTATATCTTCGTTATTTCGCTCGACCTATGGTATCTTAGAAATCCTTGAGATATATATGTCTCTGTCTTATGCTTTCAAAATATACAATAAAAACAATCGTTTTTTTTACTCTTCAAACTGAGAATACTTCCTGGGAAGGACTCTATCTTGTTCGATCTCAGACGATCTACAGCGAGCTTGTGGGAGAGATGGCAACGCATTGACTGTCTGTCCCATGCCAGGGTCAACATTTATTTATAGACCGAATTTATACTCGAATATGTGTAAGGAGCAGACGATGTCAGGTCCACGTCAGGACGTGAACACGGCGATTGTTACGTGCGTTGAGGCAGTACGCAGCCGCAGCCGCGACTCGCATAACTGCACACGGATCCAGTGAAAGTGCACATTGTTCGTAGAGTGTTAATAAACGAAACTCTCTGGGCGCGCAGACTGGAATGCCGACTTTTTTGTTCGACTTTCCGCATAACCAGAAGCCTGGTCCCGGCGGCGACGAACAACAATAACCGGCTCGTAATTCATGGTCACCGAATAAAATCCGGAGAACGCTCCATCTCTGAC